CCATGATAGCCAGACTTTTTTGTAGGTCTTAATGGGATCTACAAACCCGTAGTACATCATTTTGTTCTATTGTCAATAGTTTTTGCAGCGCACGCAAAAATAGGTTTTCGATTTTACACCTTGTGTTACAAAATAGCTATTTTATTACGGATCCCTAATTTTGAAAGAAAAAAATATAGCCTATAGCCTTCCTCGATAAATGGAATACCCAACACTGAAAGAATCATTCAAATCGGACCAGTAGTTCCAGAGATTAGCGCGTTCAAACAAACAAACTCTGCAGCTTTTTAATATTAGTATAGAAGTATAGATAGTACAGCTCCCGTCTGTGGTAGTTTGTATAATATAATATCTCGATATATAAATATATATAGCTACGTCTGTGACGGGATATATTTTGGCATATTAGTATAATACGGAATGTTCAACTTCTATTTTTCGTTCCTGACAAGGCAACATGCATATCAAATTCAGCATCGGAATCATCCTCTGAGGAACTTTCAATTAAATCTAAAAGTAGTGCTCTTGTCGAATTCATTTCGGTAAGATCAATTATAACGTTATTTCAAAATTAAAACACCCTGTGCTAGAAAATAAGCTTTAAAACCGTGCGCTTGCAAAAACGACCGCAGACCGAGTGAGGGCAAAATATATATTATAGTATAGCTCCCGTCTGTGGTAGTTAGCTATAATATAATATATATTTTGATATATTAATATATATTATAGCTACGTCTGTGAAGGGCTTAAAATAGCAGCAACAGATGACAATTTACAAAAAAAAATTTAGTGCTACCGCAGATTAACTACCTTCATTATTTTTATCCACGGGACATTATTACTTTTTAACAATGAGGTGGTTTAAGAAATAAAAAGTAAATAAAGAAACGAAACATAAACAATAGAAAGAGAAATAAAGTAAGTAATGTAAAATACTAAAATAAACACAATCAAAAATAACGCAAAACATAAAAATAAAAAAATAAACAACATACATTTTCGTCTACATTATTTTCGTCTCACAGACTGAGCTCGCTTGCTTTTCGGAAGACTGACTGCAGCCACCGGAGCCGGAGCCGGAACTGGAGCAGAAACCGCGTTGTCCACAGTCACGGGATTCTGGGCCGGCAGACACAGTTTCTCGACATCGGCCAGAGATGTTATCTGATGTCGCTTACCATCTGCGTCCAAAGCGATGATGCGCCCGGCACTGGTCCAGCATCCAGTAACACCCAATCGCTCCCGAGCAGCCACAAAAAGTTTATGGTTTCGTCAAGAACTCCGACATAGTAATGCTTGTGCCCTTGAGCTTTTTCTTCGCCATCCACAAGCCGTCACGGACTGCCTCAGAGTGAAGCTTAACAAGAAGCGACGAATTTTCTTGACGAACCCGACCCAGACGGATGGAACGGATTAAATCGCCTGCGCTAAGGTTTGGCGCCGCCAGGTGTTGAGACGCGACCTCCAAGAAAACTTCAGAGCAATCTTCGTCCTTCTGCTCCGGGACACCATGCAGCAGTAGCATACTACGGCAACTCCGCATTTCTGCGTTATCACATTCCGAAGATAGCACCGCCACCTGCTTCTCGAGGGTTTTAAGTGTCGAAATCACAAAAGTCCGGAAAGGTTCAAAATCGGCCGACAAAGACTACAGTGATGCTGGTTGAGGTTCCTCTGGATCTAAGCTCGTTCTCGAATGCAGTCATACGTTCCATAAATAATTGTGACAGTGAATCGATGGTGCTTTTAATATTTTCCATTATTGTACTTGATATTCAAATCAGTGTGTGTTAAGTGCAGTCAATTGTACCTCAGTTACCAGGTTAAGCAGAAAGGAGAAAACAGCTGCAGGTATTACCTAATGTTAGCACATAATATTCTTCGAATAATTAACTTAAAATATATTGTATTTTATTTTTGAAATGTGTGCTGCTTGCGAGATTCTGGATATGAGAGCTAAATATCTTCCCCGAGTCAATTAATTACTATTTATTGCCCATGTGATGTGTATAATATGATTTCACGTGTCGATTGGTAGGTCAAAAAAGGGACTTACCTATATTAAGAGCAGTACCTTCGTAACATTGATTGGCGATGGTACTGCCGAACGCTTGCGGGCGTTGCGCGGGATGATGTTAGCCAGAGGAATAGCTTACCTATGATACGAGCAGTACAATTGTAACATGGATTGGCGATTGTACTGGCGAACACTTGCGGGTGTTGCGCGGGATGTTAGTCAGAGTGTACTTGACTGAACAAGGGAGGCCAAAGAGAGTGTGTGCGAGGGTTGCTTGACACACCTTGGCTCCACGATGAACAAGGGAGGCCAAAGAGACTGTGTGCGAGGGTTGCTTGACACACCTTGGCTCCACGATGAACAAGGGAGGCCAAAGAGAGTGTGTGCGAGGGTTGCTTGACACACCTTGGCTCCACGATGAACAATGAGGCCAAAGAGAGTGTGTGCGAGGGTTGCTTGACACAGCTTGGCTCCACGATGAACAAGGGAGGCCAAAGAGAGTGTGTGCGAGGGTTGCTAGACACACCTTGGCTCCACGATGAACAAGGGAGGCCAAAGAGAGTGTGTGAGAGGGTTGCTTGACACACCTTGGCTCCACGATGAACAAGGGAGGCCAAAGAGAGTGTCTGCGAGGGTTGCTTGACACACCTTGGCTCCACGATGAACAAGGGAGGCCAAAGAGAGTGTGTGCGAGGGTTGCTTGACACACCTTGGCTCCACGATGAACAAGGGAGGCCAAAATGAGTGTGTGCGAGGGTTGCATGACACACCTTGACTTCCTGATCAAAGGCTTATGATAATCAAACAGGATACGCTGAAAGTGTCCTATGCCAATCATGAAATGTTATGTAAAATGAGTAGAAAATCGACGTGAATGTATATGTGAATATTGTTGTGTGTACATATAATGTATAGGTATTGATCATGGCGAAGAAGATGCTTAATGTCTCAACTCTGAGATTCATGGTATAATTTATACAGGTTCCTTGATGATATTGACAAATGACGATGGGAATAAATTGAAATAAGCGAAGCAGATATCTATAGCAAATTTAACACAAGACAGAATAAGGTATGAAACATTAATATAACTTGCACTAGTATAGTAACATGTTTAAATTGTTCAATGCCGAAAGTATGAATCGCGGTCTGTCTCAGTCCATTGTACACCCTGTTAGTGTGGGTTGTAGGCAGACGATGAGACATGTGTGGTTCTGTGTGGTTTCGGGTTGAACCTCTAAAGAATGTGTCAGTATTTGGTAGTAGTTAATATACTTCATTGCACTAGGTATAAAGATAAAATAAGACAACCACAAAGAATGCCCACAGAGTCTCTGCGCGACAAAAGGCTTACGACTCATCACAGGAGCTTTTAAAAGCACTCCTATTAATGTAATGCAGGTAGAGTGTAATCTTTCTCCATTAAAAATAAGATTCTCATACCTAAAAGAAAAATTCCTATTGAAGCTATTTAGTCGAAATAATAATCATCTGCTTTTAAACTTGAAAAATGCGCCTCAATTCATGCATCATTCTATCTACATATTGCAAGGTATCACGTTATTAATAAAATTTTCTGGAATCTCTAGACATTCACAAAACTTCCCTTCTTCCTTGTTATCAGGGAGATTTTAACAGCAAATTTCCTGCAGTTAACATTATTATTGATCACAAGTTATTCTGTAAAGAAGATGTCTATGTTAAATTTTCTGAATAAATTGGTTATAGATTTCTTTATACTGATGGATCTAAAACTGAAACTGCGGTTTCATTTGCAGTTTTTGGTGGGTTGTTAAAGTCTGCTGTTGGCTATAAAATAAATTCAAATTTAACTATATTCACTGCTGAGGCTTTGGCTATTATTTCTGCTTTAAAGCATATAAAACACAAAAATAATGGATGTCAGAAATGGGTTATAGTTAGTGACTCTATGAGTGTTCTAGAAAATCTTAAAAATAATAGATTTAATGCTAACACAAACTTTGTTGTTTCATTGATAAAAGAGTTATGGTCAGATTTAACTTCTGTGTATAATTTTGAAGTTTTGTTTATGTGGGTTCCATCGCATGTTGGTGTGAAAGGAAATGAAAGGGCTGACTTTTTAGCTACAACTATAACCAACTCTTCAAATGTTATTCCTGACTCTAGTGCTCACCTTAATATCTCTGTGACATGTACAGGACATAGTCCCCATTTTAAAGAAAAGGGCCATTGACATATGCAAAATGCATTGGAATTACACTATACAAAGTGAAAATAAAGGTTTGTGGTATGCTGTATACAATGTCCCTATTGGAACTTTGCCATGGTTCTGTAAAAGTCCTAGCTACATCAATAGAAAATTTTATACCACTATTCTTAGGCTCCGTTTTGGACACTGTCGTTTAAATTTTCATCTCTTTTGTTTAAAAATGGTGCAGAGTTCACATTGTAATTATTGTGACTCTGCATCAGAACAGTCTTTGTCTCATGTGTTCTTTGATTGCTCATCCTTTGGCATTCAGCGCCTTGTGTTGATGGATGAGCTTATCGAAATATATGGCCAATCAGAGATGGTTCCGCGCTCAATTCAGGATCTTCTTTTAAATAGCTGTACATATTTATCTTTATTTAAATTTGTTATTACCACTGTAGGGCAAATTTAAAATTGTAGGTTATGTCATATGTTACTCATTATTTTGTTTTGTCTTTGTGAATATTTATTGAAGTGTTCAAATATTTTGCTACAGTCGTTATAACTTTGAAATGTTTTTCTTTTCTGGGTATTGTTGTTTTCTGTCATTATGACGGTCTTTCAGTTGCGTTCTTTAAAATATATATATATATATATATATATATATATATATATATATATATATATAATTATTCTTCAATATAAAATAAACAAACTAAAGACGAGGCTGTATGGGCTTTAGTTCCCCTTGCCTTCCCTAAAAAGGGAGAATATTAAAAAAAAAGCTAAAGAGGTTTTTATTTGAATGTCATTTAAATGACAAAGCTGTCAATTTTTTTAAATCATTTTCTTAACATTTCAGTCAAATTCATTTTGTAACCTAAGTTTTCTTTAACTGTTAGCTAATTGTAGTGCTTACCCGAATGTGAATTTTAAAAAAATGATGATTTATAAGTGATTAAAGTAATGCTTTGCAAATTTATTTCAAAATCTACAAAACTGATAAACTTACGCATTGCTTGTATAGTGTGCATTCAGTCAAAAAGTGTATCTTATAAAAGGAAAATGTTTAAGTCTTCTGTAATAAATCTCCATGAAGCGCCCAAAGAAAGAGTTCAAGATTTTCTTGATTCTTTTGATACTGTTTTAACCGATTGTGATGGTATGATTAAAATTAACAGTCTGTAAAATTATTTAATAAATAACTACCTATTTAAAAGTTTTTCCATTCTTATTATTATTATTTCCCACTGGAGCAGAAATGACCAAATGTGTCTAATATAAAATACAATATTAATGTTGCAGGTGTGCTGTGGATTGAAAATAATGCAATTCCTGGTGCTGCAGATACCATTAATTATCTTCGTAAATTAGGCAAGAGAATATTTTATGTTACCAACAACTCCACAAAAATACGTAGTGATTTTGCTGCCAAAGCACAGCAGTTAGGTTTTATTGCTAGCTCAGTAAGAAAAATTACATATTTTCTTTTAACATAGATAAAATTCTATAAGTAAGCATAATTAAATTATAAATAATTAATTTCTCTTACAGGAAGAAATTCTTTCAACTGCTTACCTTGTTGCACATTACCTTAAAGGCATTGGTTTCACAAAAAAAGTTTATCTGCTGGGATCAAATGGTATTGGGGAAGAGTTGAAGGCTGTTGGTATTCGTCATATAGGTGTAGGGGTAAGTAATTATTTAAGTAGTTATATGCATTTTTTTAATACATAAAGGACATTGTTCAGCGTCCATACATATTTAGCCTAAGAACCAACAATTATGAAATATTATTTTCTAGGTTCGAAATCGTAAGTAAATGACTGTAAAAACAAATATTATTGACGGACACTTCTGAGAACTTAAATTATTAGAAAAACTAAATGTTTTTTGAGGTTATGTTTAGTATTCAATGAAACATAGGTCAACCTATCAACTTAGTATGAAGTGAATTAATATTACAACTAATTCATTTTATTTGGTGTGATTTTAAAGAATAACTAATAGGAAAACCTTGGATAGGTAGGAATCATGAATAAAATAAAAACTGTAGTTTTGCTTCTTATTTATTGACTATTTTTAACATAATTGTATCATATTGTATATGGTACCTATTTGTATATCACATGTATTTTGTGTAAATATGCAGCGTGAATGTGTATCAGGTGTTCTTGAATAATTTGGCAGTATGATCCTCTCAGGATGTTGTGGCACAGGTTCACTAGCACTTGGTAATAAGGTCTCTGCTCTGTGGTAACATCGATGGCATATTAGATAGTCGAAATAGTTAAATTAAAGGAAAAACTATCGCCAATAAACACACACAACAGGTAATCCGAAACGAGAATGCACTTTCCTGTATATTATACTACTCTTTGGAATGCATGAATGCCACAGATGCAAACTGCCTGCTTGCACAACAACCACAGAGTATCGAGTTTTATGCCGGCCCTTCTCTTGACAACAGATTGTCCTTGTCATGCTTAATAAGGAATGAAAAGGACAGACTGATGTCATGTTTTCAAAATAGCAAATACGAATAGCCAAGTAAAGTGCCGGCATAAGGAAGAAAGAGTGTTTTGTTTGCAGCGCTGTCATAGACTATACACATAAAATGATATTTATTGACACAGATTATTTTTTAACTTTTTAATTTAGCTTACTTAACTGGAAGTGTCCGTCACAATCTAAATACTGATAATTATCCCAAAAAATGTATTTAGAATTATCATAAATGCCAAATTGGTGTTGGTTCTTAGGCCAATTTTAACATTGTCCTTTATTTGGTCTATAAGCTGTTATTGGGTAGATATTTATTTTTCCCCTAACTCCTCTGAAATCCTTTAAAATTATCATAATAATAGGTGTAATAATAAAAAAAAAAAATTAAGACATTAAAACTTATGGTAGAAGCCATACCTTATTTATATGTGTAAAATGTAAATGTATAAAATTAAAAAATTGTTCTATAACATTTCTTTCTAGCCGGATCATGTGAAACCAGATTTTAAATCTATGCATCCATCTGATTTGGATCCTGAAGTTGGTGCTGTTGTGGTTGGCTTTGATGAGCATGTCAGCTATCCAAAGTTCATGAAAGCAGCTTCATATCTTGCTTCAGAGGAGTGCCTGTTTGTTGCAACAAATACAGATGAGAGGTTTCCAAAAGCAGAATCAATTGTTGTTCCTGGAACTGGTACATTAGTTAGAGCCGTGGAAACTTGTTCAGAGAGGAAAGCATTAGTGTTGGGGAAACCTCATGAATATGTGAGAAAATTCTTAGAGTCCTGTGGACTCAATCCTGCAAGGACACTTATGATTGGTGACAGGTAACCATTTAATAATTAATTAAATTTCTCTATATTGTATTTAGTGGTATTAGTTTGCATTTGTTGCATCATTCTGTATTTGCTGTTACTTGGTTTTTTAATTTGCTGCTAGGGCAGTAATGGGTGGACCACTTCGTCTGTGACTTGTAGATGCTCGACTGTGCGATGTGCTCATAGATTTTGGGATTTTTCTACACACATACTGCATTTTGGTGTGAGAATGATAGTTCAACTGTCAACACGTTATTAGTTGTGTGGCAGTGGCCTACACTAAATGAAAAAACATTACAACCTAACAAGATGGCAGGCAATACCCAGAGATAGAAAAGTGCCACTTCTCTATCACTATTGTATATGTCAACCTAAGAAATGGTCCCTGCTTACCTCACACCACAATCAAGGATGCAGTTAATGTCCCTTACCTACTTTGATTTGATTTGCACCCAATGTCATTCATCCTTATCTAGCTGTGATATTTTACAGAATTAAGGTAAACACACACTTAATTCAAATCATTTGAACCCAACACATTGAACGAGTGAAAGGACCCAAATTTGTCAAATGATTAGTAGGTATTTTCTAAATCAAATTTTTGTTGAGGTTTCACACACTATGACAAGGAAGGCCAAATGGGGACATCTTCCTTCGAGCTGGGTGATGATAGCACAGGGGCCCGACTGATTTTGGTCAGGCATTGTATATACCCGCTAGTGAAATTAACACTCCATATATATGAAGTGTTAGCCTCCGGATTTAATTTGCGCGATGTAGGCTTCCATACTATTGTGATCGCAGCGCAGGTAGAGCCATCTCTTAAGGAGGCGAGTGATTATTTCGTCCATATATTGTTTTAAACTTTCATGGTCACTAACATTATAGAATTACAAACAGTTACTCCGTGATTATGGCGCTTGCAACAGTGCCGAAATATCGGAAACTCGCTAAAAATAAGGTACATGGTAACAATCCCGTAAATAACTTATATTACTATAACATTTCGTCCATGTTGGTTATATGTGGGGCGGCGACATCTATATGAGATGTCGCCGCCACAAGTAGTTAATATGCTGGCCTCATATCAAAGGTGCCTATCTTAGGGACACGCACTATCTGAATTGCAGCAGTTAATTTATCCATTGAATAGGGAATCGTCACTCCTAATATCCTCCCTCTCAGCACTGCATGATGTTTTAAGTCCCACCAGGTAATGGAATTTATTTGTTGTGATATGTACGGTGCGCAGTCGGAAAGGCGATACCAAAACTCGCCTCGAAAGACGAGAACACTCAAACCAAGCCAAGGTTTTCAATATGGTACCCTGGATAGATCCATACCAGACTCCAACCCCCTCTCCACCGTTAAAGACACCTCGCTAAAGCAATAATGGCATTTTTCAAACCTCCTTTTTGAATTTTTATTTTGGGCAAGTTCCCCAAAATTGGACTGCCTCATTACAAGACCGTAGTCAGAGTTGTATTTAAGATATTTTGAATAAATATAATATAAATTTAATATTTTTTTTAATAAAAGGTAGGGCAGAAACAGGGACGTGCAGCCCTTCGCAGCCTGCATGCCGCCCCGTTTTAAGCTAGGGTATTGCCCCATAATGCCCCTCTCCCCCCTATCTACGGCCCTACCTCATTATCAAATGATCTCACTTAAGAAAAAATCCACTGATGTCTCAAAATTGTTTATATGAAATTCTTTGAAACGTCTCGTTCCTGCACGCTCGAATGAACCAAACTTCATTAGATTCAGCGCTGGCGATAGGGCTGAATCGAGCGATGCGCTCGCATTTTAATAATCATACTAACGGCCGCCCGCGACTTCGTACGCGTGGAGTTAGAAATATAGGTTCACTGCTCGTTCCCCGTAGGTGATAGCGTGATAATATATAGCCTATATGTTGACCCGACTTCTTAATAATATTCGTGCCAAATGACATTGGGCAAAAATGTATGGACGCTGCACCCACGTTCGCCACGGCTTAAACTACATTTGTTTGAAAGGTGTTAAAGTCATGATCATCTATGCTAAAGCGCATCAAATTCTATCCCGGGAGTCTTAAGTTATTTTAAGTTAAATAGGTACACGTACTATAACGAACGAACATTAATCAATCAAGGGACATAATTTCGTTAGTTAGTTCGACAATACATAGGGGGCTCAGGTATTATGGCAGTACTTCACAAGGTTCAAGGGTGCCCCCTTATGTTATTCTGCCGCACTAGAGTAAATCTAAAAATCCCCGCATGGGTTGAGTTTTTTTCAAACATTCTGTTCGTTATAGTAAATTGTCTTTTTTGCAAAGGGGAGCGTCCACAAATCACCCAAACTTGTCGACGCTGCGGAGAAAACATGATTCCAGTTCGTCCATACCCAATTACAATTAACAAAATCGATAATCGTGTTCCAATGTCCAAAGCGTGTTAGATAAAAATCAATCAAGAGACAGGGAGCGTACAATCACAACGAAGTAAGATGAGTCGACTATTTGCAACTGCAAGTCCTTCAACTCTCGTAAACCGTTTTGAGTTGGCTCAGTAAGTGCAGGCGCAGGATGGTCGGCAGGCTTTATCGTATATCTGGAACGGTTGTATAGTACGATATGGCATATTATTATGGTTACTAATAAGGGGCCATCCATAAATTACGTCACACGTTAAGGGGGAGGGAGGGGGTCGACGAAGTGTGACATCGTGTGACAAGGGGGTGGGAGGGGTCCTAAATTTCGTGACGTCACACTTCAAAATCTATTATAATCTAAGTGTTGGAACTATTACTTTACGAAAACATTAACAACCCAAATGAGAACAAAGTGATGCTATGCCAGTTATAAATAATTTAAAAATGTGGGTTCAATGTCCATAGACATAAATTTATTAAGTTTGTATCTTTAATTTAATTATAATGCTATTAATATTTTTTGTTTTGTTAATTTCTTTAATTAACATAGTCAATCGTTTCTTGTTTGGTAATTTCTTTAGTAAATATAATCGATTTTTTTTTAATAAAGTCAAGGTCAACAATTAATAAAGGTTTTTGTTTTGTTAATTTCTTTTATTAAAATAGTCAATCGTTTTTTGTTTGGTAATTTCTTTAATTAATATAATCGTTAATTTTTGTTTTGTTAATTGTTTGATTTGATGTTAATATTATTTAAAAACAATTTAAACGGAAATAACACTGATTTCAGAACCGCTGTCTTCATTCAATAATTTCTAAATGTTTTGCAAAATATGTGACGTCACACTAGGGAGGGGGGGAGTCTCATAAATGTGACCAACTGTGACAAGGGCGGGGGGAGGGGCAAAAAATCATGAAATTCGTGTGACGTAATTTATGGATAACCCCTAATATAAAATGAAGATATTATAAAATGAATTTATTTAGCTACTTAAATATGCCCATGTGTCATACCTTTTGACTACCAGGATATTTTTTACGGTGTCATATCTTTTGACTCCCAGGATTTTTTTTTCGGTGTCATAATAAAAAAGGCTAGTTTTTCGAAGATCTATCGATTCATACTAATTACATTGTTGGCGGAGCTGGGTGTGTTTTGCCCATTGTCCTTTGAATTAAATCTATGCAGTACTTTTTGAGTTTATCCCGGACATACATACATACAGGCAAACGGACAAAAATTCTTAAAACTATATTTTTGGCTTCGGTATCGATTCTTTTAAAAAATATTCAAAGTAAAGTTTTGACTTTCATACCATTTTATTATATATATAGATATTCTATAATTCCATTGTGACAAGGTAAAAAGAGGTATACGATTATTCGCCACAGTTGATTTTCTTTTGATTCTTTTGTGCAATATGTGTGCGAGGTGTCCTCGACTTCGATTCGTTCGACGCGTTCAGCTCGGATAGGTGTGCGTTCATCTTTAAATAACATTGGCTGTTAGTACAGTACATAATTTTACTAATGAGTAATTTTGGCTTTATCTTTGGCTGCAACGATTACCCCTTGATGATGTCTAGCTGCTCCTGTAGATTTCATTTTAGGGTTATGTATGGAGAAATTTTAAATGCCAATGTATTTCAGATGCAACACTGATATAGAGCTAGGTGTCCGTTGTGGTTTCCAAACACTCCTGGTCCTCACCGGTGTCACATCCCCCAATGAGCTGGAGAAGATTCGAAATGAAAAGAAACCGCCGTTACCTGATGTAGTCTTGCCGAAATTGGGAGATTTGCTCTCTTTAGTATCTTCGTAGTTGTTATTAACATAGCGATCATTGTAGGACTTCTTCAAATAAATAAGTAGGTCAATTTACATTGTGATAGTGTTTTTGTAAGCTGTTTAAAATACAGTGAATGGAAGTATTTATAAGTGTTACTTCAAATGAAGTGTTAACAAAGTTCTGTAAAGCTTGATGAGATTAAAGGAGAATGTTTAAAGCTCAATTTTTATTGGAAATATTGTAATTATTTCACGCCTTTTAATGTATGTGCTATTTAAAGACTACAGCGCTTTTGTTATTTTTGATAATTTTGATCAAATAGGCTTACCAACTTGTGGTACGGTTGAGTTTTTCCTATGTAGTACAATCACGAAACTTACAGCACAACGAAAAACCAAATGGCACAATTATACTTTCTCCGCTAAATAATAATTAATGTTCTCTTAAACATGGCTCACCAATGTTCAATTCCAGTTATTTATGTAAACCGATTTAAACGTGATTTTATTCAAATCTAACTTTAAAATGGATGGCAAGGAAGGATTATGTGTCAGGCACGAGTCTTATAAAATGTGGTGGGGTTGAGATGCTAGTACAATAAATATAATAAGATAGGTGGTTTCCCATGGCCGGATTTAGTGGTTGGGGGCAACGAAGGAGTGGGGGCCCCAATTTAAGAATCTCGAACTCTGGGCCTCCTACGATTTGCAATCCTCCCCTGGTTGGTGACTGGTCGAAATGGAGTTATTGTTTTATCTCTGTTGTGGGGGCTCCTGTGGGCCACAGCCCCGTCTGCCCTGCCTTAAATCCGGCCCTGTGGCTACCTTTAATAAGTAAATCTAACTATGAAACTGATTGATTTTAGACACTAAAATGTACCCCTCTTTATCAGAAAAAGTTGACTTAAGGTGAAACCCTGCATAAAAACTTACTGTCATGTCATTATTGTTAAAAAGAAAACAAAGACAACATTACTTATTTGGTCTCAGTTTATTATAAGATGGAATATAACTATAATGCCATTTTTATAATAGAATTACTTTTTTCTTGTAACTATGAAAATCTGCCGTATTTAGTAGAAGCAAAATAAATAAATGATTGTATAGTAAAATAATAATAAATTTGCAGTAACGCGGCAGACCAATATAAAGGCAAAACTTATTTCATTGCCTCAAATCTAGGTTATTGTCTTAATTGCCTCTGATTTACAGTAGCTACGTTGCTTGCGTTGGAATTTCATGTGATGATATCTTAAATTATATTCGTAGATAATTGTCAAAAAAATATTTTGGTATAAGCACGTATTTATCTTTTGAAATTTATATTACAAAAGTTTTATTATATTGCTTTTATGATGCTGACATTTAACATGTGCTTCTGCGATTTTTTGAAACGTTATTTTAATAAGAAGTTAATACATACTCTTGTTAATTTTGTAGGTTTTTTTAATAAAAAATGATATGAATGTTAACAAATGTTTCTCGCTGTTTAATTTTTTGCTAATCATAAAATTGTATGTAATTTCAAACTTACCTTACCCAACTTACCTACCAAGCTCTAACAACTCAAATAAGAAATCGTGTTTTTATTTTATTTTTTATTTGTTGCAATGGACATACTCATGTTGTGAAAATGGTTTACTTAATTGTCTTTGATTAATTAATAATCAAAGCTAATTATATGGTTTATCACCTACAGACCGCTGACAGCAGCGCAGGATTAGTAATAATAATCGTAGAGGTTATTTTTACGGTCTAACTATTGTAAATTCCCACTATTTAGTTTGAACACGTCACGTTGTTCGAACAAAGGAATAGAATAAGTGGAAACCAAAATAAAGCACTTCCCTAGTCGAGCGACGGGCGTTCCGCGCCGCACTTGCACGGACATTTAAGCGTCACTTTGGTTACTTCGACTTTTTTCAAGTAAGGTAAGGTACCTTACACAAACTATACTTATAAAAACAACCCCAAAACTTGTTATATTATACTTCAATCTTTTGCAAGGTAGTGGTGTAAGATACCTACTTTCCCGGGCGGTTTCTCCAATTCGAGAGGAAAACCCGCTAGTATGGCCTACCTCTTAATATATAATTTATACTTATAAGAACGGTTCGAGAATATCAAAAAAGTTAATAGAACTTTATATCACTTCAAATATCGTGTGAAATATGAATAAACCTCATTTGATCAACATACTATTGGCCAATTTTCATGCTGAAAATAGAAATGGATGGACTGTACCTATATTGAATTGAAATAGCAATATCTGGGTCAACTATATATACAAGAGCGCATACACTCCCGGCCTAAAAATATTCAAACTGAATTGTTCTGGTACACAAGAACTTTAGTTACCATCAAACCATACCGAGAGAAAGATTCCTCGTGCTAAAAGCGCGGGGGTTACTTCCAAAAATAAATCAGAATTATCTGTCATTTACTAGATTAAAATCGAATTTGTTTAAATTTATAGGGAATGGTAAATTGCGTAGGTGGGAAAAAATACCGCGTATTGGGAAAATTCAAGGTTTTGAAAATTTAATTCGGTCTGCGATGTTTTTTTTTAATAAATTTATCTATCGCGAAGGTTAAAAAGATTTTACAGAAACCAGTGATAGATTATGAAACCACAAAAGCTCTTTCTTCTGCGAGAGCTCTACTGTGTTTCGCAAGGCTCCTTTGTCATTGATTTCGGCTGTCTGTTCAGTATTTGGCAATTGGCACTCAACATTTTTCTTTACGTAACGCTTCTGCTACAGGATGTCAGTTGCTCGATGCTTTGGATAGGTTACAGCGGCGCGCAATCCGCATCATAGGCGATGAGGAGGTGACTAAACACCTTGAGCCTCTTCAATTACGCCGTGACGTGGCGTCACTAAGCGCGTTCTATCGTTTGTACCACGGCGAGTGTTCTGAGGAGTTATACTCTCTTATCCCACCTTCCCCTTTCCTTCAGAGGACCACGCGCGCTGGCCTACGTTGTCACCGTCTTACTGTGGCCACAATTCCAACGCGTACAAAGAAATTTGGTGACTCATTTCTTTGTCGCACTATCCGTAAATGGAATGCTCTGCCCGCTCACGTGTTCCCTCCCTCTTACAACCTGGGATCCTTTAAAAGAGGCGTGAAGAAGCAACATGCAGGCCGGCAGGGTGAGGATGGCTGGTGTGGCAGGTAGAACTGCTGTATCAGCGGAATCAAGCAATTTTTATTTATATAAATAGAACATAAGTATAGGAATAAATTGAGCTCGGTATGCGTGGATTCCTATTGCCGAAACAACGTTAAAAAATTAAAAAATGTTTTACCGTCAATGCGGATTTTTTTTAATGTATTCGACAGTAAATTTTATTGAGTTAGAAAAAAATCACGCAAACCACTTTGTTTTGCCGAAAGGGCATACCTATTTGAAGTGTGTGATGAGGGCTAAAATTTCTCCATCATGCCGGTAATTTTTTTTTTATGTAATTTTTAAAATTATTTTGGTATGCGCGCTCGAAAACTGCCGGAAAACTCCCGCATACCATATATTAGCATCTACTCCAAATTGTACAAACACGGTCACGGGCGCGTGGACAGCTCTAAGGCGATTTTGCCATGCACTCGTTTTGTACGATTCGTTAGTGGGCGGGCTCTCGATTTTTTATGAATGAACAGCAATAGCTCGGTTGTGTTGTGATGAATGTATGCTCATGTCATGATATTACATTTTGTTTGGAATTCGTAAATGATTTCATGAATGTCCTCTTTTCAATTACCTACATAATTAAATCCGGAAACAGTTGTAATCGTTCGTGCTATTCACGAAGTTAAGAGTTCTGTAGATTATTTAACGACTTTTATTTATTTATAAGAATCATTACTCCTGAATAATTCAGTGATATTTTATATGTCATTAACGGCTGCATTCAAAGACGTCAATTAAAGGTAATGCTTCATTAAGTCGCGTGTTGTCTTATTTTGTTTTACCAAGAAATTTTGTTTCTACATAAAGTGACAGCATCAACTTTAATTTAAATTAAAAGTTAATTGGCGTCTCTGAGTACGGCAGCGATTCAGCGCGACCTAAGGGTCTCGCAAATTAAATTTTGCCCATTGCTTAGAAAAGGGTTTGTGATTAATCAAGTATAACGCGCGCTCTAATTCAAGCGGGGAATCCGCTATGCCCTACGTCTTTTAAAGGTAAAATAGACGCTGGTAAAAGTAAATACTTAATATATAAAAACTATCATTAACGATATTATATTTATTTTAAAAGAGATAGGGCATAGCGGATTTCTCGGTGGAATTGGAGCTCCCGTCTGGAAAAGTAACCTTTTTCTTACAGAAGACCACAGTAAAATAACACTTCCTACCTTTTGGTCTTGTGTTTCTGTTGGTGAGGAGCTCGATGGCGCAAGTGGTTAGCGCGTTCGGCTGCGGTCGTTGAAGTTAAGCAACTTTCGCAGTGCTCGGTCATTGGATGGGTGACCAAAAATTTACTATCTCGAGCTCCTCCGTGCTTCGGAAGGCACGTTAAGCCGTTGGTCCCGGCTGCATCTGCAGTCGTTAGCACCCACCAATCCGCACTGGGCCCGCGTGGTGGGTCATGGCCCAATCTCCCTATTCCATTCATAGGGAAGGCCTGTGCCCCAGCAGGGGACATTAATAGGCTGATGATGATTCTGTTGGTGAATAAGGTTTAAGGGCTCCACGGGTACGGGGATTGGGTTCAGGCCAGCAAGGTGAGAATGGCTGGAGCGGCACACTTGTCTATCGCATCAGTTATCTTCAGACTTCAATAGTCCCCACTCACACTTAAATATCTGGCTGGGAGGGGAAATTTTCTGAGATATGTATTAAAAAAATAATAAAATATATCTCACTGACTATTAGATGCTAACGCATATATATTTAGATAGGTTTAAAGAACCGAAACCACTTGAGCATTTATTTACTGACAAATCTCGAAAACTACTAAAATATGAAGGTGAAATTTTACACGAAAGTAATTAATGATTAGGAGTCGTTGCCTAAAAAGGATTTTAGGAAACTTCCTTAAAATGGGACTCAATAAGGAACACAAAGAGTTATAGTAAGTCATAATGTCATTTTTGCCATCGTTACCTCTATTACCAATTAAAATAATTAAACTTGTATTTTTGCCAAGTTCAAGAGTTAATATTTTCTTCTTTAATTGGTGCATTGTGACACATACCTTTTTACTCTCAAAAAGAATGAGCTTAATAATTATTTCTTTTATTGTTATTATTATGCTCTTGTAAAAATAGGTACTAGCTTTCCGTCAGCGGCTTCGCACGCGCAGAACAAAACTTGATCCTACATTGTAACCACTCTAGAGTATAAATTAGAAAATACTACCATTTTCTAATTTTCTAGGTAGCCCAATTAATTACAAACTCTGATATTGGTGCCGATTCTGACGTGATTCTCTAAGCTTTAAACTAAATTTAACATCAGTCTCTCCTTTTCATTCTGTAAAGAGAATGACAAGGATATGCTGCTGTCAAATTTAAGTTTAGGTTTAGAGAATCATGCTAGAATCGACACCATTAACAACTTTATAAAAATTTTAATTTTAATTTATACACATTTATCCCCATTGGACAATTTTAATTTATACACATTTATCCCCATTGGTCAACAATGTGACTCAAGTGGACATAATGATTATTTCAGGTCAGATAATAAACAAAAAATATATTTCGAATTAAATCTGAAAAAAGGTAGGAAAATTAACTAAAAACTTCTATCCGCCGAGGTAGAGGTGCACTTTAACTATCGTAGTAGCAAAAAGTATGTCAGTTTTTGAGACATGGCTGATACTATAAGAATACTTATATTAATAGCTATCCGTGCTTTTAATTTAGCAACGTTTATCCTAAGAATTTCCTTGAAAATGATTTCAAATTAGTTTTCGTCAAAAACTGTACTTATACGCCACTTTTGTCAACGCCACCTGTTTTCCATGTTCTATTAAACTATAGGAATCGGTGAAGTTCAAATCGGGAAGTGGCAACGCTGAGTTTTTGTAATCTGTGGACAGCGGCTTGATGAGCGGCTATATTTTTGACAGTTGACATGTGAACGTCTGGTGTAGTTTGTGTACACAATTTTTTCAAGGTAAGATTTTTGTGCATAAAAAAGTAAGTTCGATTGTTACACGAAAAACAAATAGTGCATCATGTTAGTAGAAGTGAAAGCCATGTTTGGAGCTATAATGCAACTCAAATCATACTTTTACAGAGATCTTACAGAGATATAAGAGGTTTTCTCAACGCGACGATAGCGAAGAAGTAGAAATACGCCACCATTTTGGTACTTCAACGCCAACGGTAACGTAGATATTCGTCACCTCCTGTACGCTACCAAATAAAGGTAGGTATCCACTCGTTTTTATTATACTAACTTTTTACCTGACTGCCGAAGAAAGGAGGGTAATGTTTTTCGAGAGTGTATGTATGTATACTA